TCCTCATGACAGCAAAGAAAAAGATTCCTTTAATCTTTGAATATTTTTAAATATTATAAAGCAACAAAGTATTAATTTTGGCTTTCAATTCACATTCTAACAGAAACCAGTGTTATTTCATTTACTTTACAGTTTTTACCACAAGTTCATTTTTATCAGCTTCCCTTTCTACCTGACATGTTCAGTTGCAAATGCTGTCTGGTCAAATACTCCAGAATCATCAGACACCACCCACAACTCCTGCAGAGGCAGTCGAAACTCCTTCAGATCCAAAAGTTCCTTCACTCTCTCCAAGGTAAAAGTGCTCAATTTAGATTTACAGATACATGGTTCAGCAAGCTTCACTACTGCCTTCAAAGCTGAAAAGTCCACATCTATAACCTGAAATTCAAAATAATATGACTCAATTTAACACTCAAGAATCAGAATGGAAATACTGATACAATACTACTGATAATCTAATTTTTGTGTAATGGCCAGGGTGTCTTCTAAGGATAAACAAGACAGGCCTGGCTCTTATCATCATGGCACTTTGCTTATAATCAAGGAAGAAAATAAGCAAGAGGGCTTCTGGGTAAGACAGTGGCGGAAAAAAATTGCCTCTGTGAGGCTGGGTGAAGGAAAAAGATTCAGAATTTTTTAAAAAATAAACTATTTCAAAGAGAAAGAGGAAGAGCATTAGAAATTTTAAAACTACTGATAGGATAAGAAAAAAGTAGTAAGAAAGAGGTATGTGATTCAAAGAAGCCAAGCATAACAGAACTCTAGCCACATGGCTCCCAGTAGGAGGGGAAACAGAAGCCTCCTCCCAAAAGGTAAGCTAGGTGGGCTCTGGTGAAAAGAGATCATGAAAATCCAACCTTCAGGACAAAACCACAGCCCTTATAAGCTTCAAAACCAGCTGTGGGTTTTGGTGAGACAGTGATTCAATTCTCCAGAATCTCATTCTGTCACTCATCTATGACTTGGAAGGCAAGAGCTGGTCACCATCATGAGAAAACTTAATTGGTTGAAATAGCTAAAATTGTGGGCATCAGAATGGGGAACAGCTATAAGAAAGGAAGCCTGAATTTAACCCGCAAAGCCCTAGGGTGAAAGGCAGCCCTGGGAGCACCTGTAGAGTAGGAGGACAAGATGACAACCAGAAAAGAACAAGCAGCAGGAAGCTCTGACCAAGCTGTGATAGACAGAAGGAAAGGTAGTTCCACCCTCAGTGAACAGGAGCAGATGTCATCAACTGACAATGACCTTGGAGTTTGACAGCCCTAAGCCAAAGCTCAGCAGGTCAATCAACCTCTAGAGCTGCCAATCTGCCATTCACTACTGTAGATTCTCAAAATTTGGAAGCTCCAGTGGTCTACTTGACACACACAATTACATCTGTCTGGCAAGGTGATTAATATTTAGATTTCCATAATCCACACTCACAGACTGACCAGGTTGCAGCAGCAGCAGGCATTCACCATGAAGCCTTCGCCACAACAGGCCATTTCAGAATAAAAATTTAAAAAAATCCAAGATTCCCCACCCCAAAGGGCCACAGAGACCCTAAACCAAGCAAAGGGCCAAACAGTAAAAGAACTCCACCATATTAATGCCTCCTGTGGCTTCTCCTGGGACCAGGTTCTCTCTCTTTCCCTGACACTCCCAAAGGACTTCTCTAACCTCAATATATCTACCTGCTTCCTCTGCACCCCTCTACAGGGCTCACTCCCTATTTCCTCTTCTGGTTTATAATGTCACCAGGCAAACCAATACCCAGTGCTCCTTAAACCCAGAAGTACAACAGCCTCTGCCTCCTCTACCCCCTTTGCTTAATAAATCACAGTGCTGGACCCCCAAGTCTCTAACTGCCCCCACTCCTCCATCCTCAATGTTACAATCTGGGGCAATACTGGTCTAGCCCTAGACTACTTTTCCTTTACTCCGAAATACATACCTATATCTCCCCATAAGCCAAGGACACCTGCACTCCAGTTGTTCTCATACCTAGATTAACCCTATACACCTCAGTAGAGGTGCATGATTCTCTCTCCACAGAAACAGAAAGGAGCAGAGCAAAAAGGTCAGCTACTCTAGCAGTCGTGGTGGGAATCAGCCTGGTATCATCTGTAGCCGCCACAGGATTTGTGGCAGGGAGCCTAGGACATACCTTGCTCTTAGCACAACACTTCTCACAGGACATCCAGGACCTCAAGCAGGAGCTTACTACAGCAGTGGAAGCAACAGCCCAATCAATCCAGATCTTACAACAGCAACTGTCCTCCCTAGCTGAAGTTGCCCTCCAGAACAGGCAAGCCCTGGACCAATTAACTGCAGAAAAGGGAGGTAACTGCATTTTCTTGGGTGAGGAATGCTGTTACTATGTCAACCAATAGGGTAAGGTCGAGCATAATATAAAACACCTTCAACAGGTGGCCAAGGATCTTTCACTTAGAACTTCCCAGTACCAGCAGTCACCTCAATGGGATATTCTTTACAGGACTGACTCCCTGGCTTCTGTCCTTACTAGGCCCCCTGTTTTCTATTACTCTACTGCTAACCATCACCCCCTGCCTCTTCAGATATTTTCAGGGCCAGATTCAACAACTGACTCATACCAGCTTTAACCAACTGTTACTTTCCTTTCCCCCTCATGTACATGAACGCCTATCAACTACCTTGTCCAGATGCATGAGCTGGAGACCACCAATGCCTGATCCAACCCTGACCCCAGCCTTGCCCTCCCTTCCCCACATGGACCTTGATCAACAGGAAGTAGCCATAATGAGAAATGCTGCCCCCTACCCTATAGTAAAAAAGGCTGGAATGTTAGAGTCCAGGTCTGCAAGAGGTGACCCTCCCCCAATGCAGTAAAGCTTCACAAACAGGCCCTGAGGCCCCCTTGCAAAACAGGAACTGGCCAGGCAGCTGCATTTAGAGCTGACTCAGCACAAAGCTGTTTCCTAGATAATTTTAGAAGATAAACAGGCCCCTGCACAGCAGGCCCACTGATGTATAAGCTGCTTCCCCCTGATAACTTTTACAATGTATAGACCCCCTTAAGGCCCCTGCACCCCAGACCCACTAATGTAAGAGCTGTCTCAGTATAAGCTCTGTCCCTCTGATAAGTTTCACAATGCATAGACCCTCTAAAGACATTGTACCCCAGGCCCACTGATGTAAGAGACTGTCTCCGCAGTAACTGCCTCTTCCTGACCCCTCTGCTTGAAATAATTTTTTCCCACCCTCCACACTCCCTAGTCTCCCCCACCCCCCATAAAAGCTCCCAGCCTGTAAACAGACAGTTTCTCTAACCCCGAGTTGAGAGCTGTTCCGTGCCTTCTGCCAATAAATTCTATCCCTCTGGAGGAGTTCTTGTCTGTGTACCGGTGCTTTTTCCCAACTAACTCGATTACCTATCAATATCCAAACACCAGTAAATTAAAAAAAAAAAAAAAATTAAGCAAGATTCTAGGATATCATCAAGAGATCAAATCTAAGAATCCATGAGATGCAGGAATAAAACTAAAGACATGGAGAATCTACGCAATAATATTATACCAGAAAATGTCTGAAATCTAAAGAAAGAAATGCACATTCAAACACAAAAGAAAAATAGACATGACAAAGGAAGAGCCCCTCCAGGATATATTATAGTCAAGAGACTGTGATGGTTTGAATGTGAATGTCTCCCATAGGCTCCAAGTATCTGAATACCTGGCCACAGATGGTAGTGCTATTTACAGAGGTTTAGGAGATGTGGCCTTGCAGAAAGAAGCTTGGCACTCAGGGAGGCCTTTCAGAGTTCATAGTCTTGCCCCACTTCCTTTGCGTCTCTCTGCTTTCTGTGTCTGCTTGAAGTTATAAGCACTCAGCTTTCTGCTCTGGCTGCCTCCTGACTTGTCTTCTTCACTGTGGTGGGGGACTCTTATCCCTCTGGAACTGTAAGCCCAAGAAATACTTCCCTCTAAAAGTTGCCTTGGTCACAGTGTTTATCACAACAACAAGAAAGTAACTAATACCGATGTCAAAAACACACAGGAAAGAAACAACATTAGAGTCTCTATAGGAAAAACAGGAACTCAGCTACAAGGCAAACACATCAGAGTAATATGACAGCTCCCTTTAGTGACCCTAAAATACAGGAAAGCATGGAAATATATTTCAGTCCTTTTAAGTGAATAACTGCTAAGCAAGATTGCTATATTTACCAAAACTATCTTTTAAAGTTGACACTGAAATAAAGATATTATCAAAGCAATCACAAACTAAGGCAGTTTAAGATGATCAAGCCAGCACTGCAAAAGATACACAAAGAAAAAGGTAGTCTGAATGGTACATAGCTATAATTACAACACTCAGGAAATGGAGACAAGAAGACTAGGACTTCAAGGTCTTCCTCAGGTTTGAGGCCAGCTTGAGCTTACATGAGACTGTTTCAAAAAAGATAAAGGTGCCAAGAACACAAACTGGAGGAAAGATGGCATCTTCAACAAATGATGCAGGGAAAACTGGATCTCCACGTATAGAAAAATGAAATTAGGCCCATTATTTTTCACCCAGAACAAAAGTCAACTCCAAATGAATCAAAGGCCCCAATGTGAAACATGAAATTCTGGAACTGCTAGAAGAAAACATAGGTAGTACCCTACAAGGTAAAGGTACACAGGAAGACTTTCTAAATCCGACAGTAGTTGTTCATGAATTAAGGTCAACAACTGACAAATGTGACCTCTTTAAATTAAAAAGCTTTTGTGCAGCAATAGAAACAACCATTCAAGTGAAGAGGAAGCCAATATAATGGGAGAAAAATCTTCATCGGCTACACATCTGACAGAGGATTCATATCCAGAATATACAAACAACTCAAAAAACAAAGAATCAAGAACATAAATGACACAATTAAAAAATGGGCTAAGAAGCTGAACAGAGCGCTTACAAAAGAAGAAATAAAAATGGCAAAGAAACACCTTAAAAAGTGTTCAATACCAGTATCAGTTAGGGAAATGTAAACCAAAACTTTAAGATTTCATCTTACCCCAGTCAGAATGGTTAAGAACAAGAGAACAAATGACACCAAATGCTGGTAAGGATGTGGGGAAAGGGGAACTCTCATTCACTGCTGGTAGGACCCTAAAAAAATGAAACTACCCTAAAAAAATGAATCTACCATATGATCCACTTATACCACTCCTTGGCATATACCCAAAGGACTCATCCTACTGCAAAGACACTTGTACATCCATGTTTGTCACTGCTCTTTTCACAATAGCTAAGAAATGGAAACAACCTAAATGTCCCTCAAATGATAAATAGATAATAAAAATGTGGTTCATTTACACAATGAAGTTCTACTTAGCAGTAAAGAAAATATGAAATTTTCAGGTAGATGGATGGAACCATAAGCTGTTATACTAAGAGAGGTAACAGACTCAGAAATATATGTGATGTATGTTCTCTCTTTTATATGGATCTTATCTCCAAATCCTTAGATGTGAATATATATCCTGATGTAACCAAAGGAGCCAGGAAAATGGAAAGACACCACAAGGGTAAAGGGGAAGGAGTCCAAGAGAGGGGGAGAGACAGGTGCTACCAAGGTAGAAATAAGAAAAATGAGGGTACTTTAACTGGGAAAGAGGAGGAGGGGCTATATATGGGGAGAGAGAGGAGAGATACTTAGGTGGTATGAAAAACCAGAGGGAACTGTATTAGTTCAAAAGCCTACTGAAAAATACACATGCATGTAGACAGTTGATGACTATGTAACAAAAACCACAGTGCTAGGCAGGAGAAACCTCCCCTTGAGTTGTTGGTCAGGATAGCCCAAGAGACTCCCAAAATAATACAGACTATTACCATAGCCCTTGGCTGCATCCCAGAACTTGAAGAAGACAGGGCATATTTCAGATACATGATTTGGAGCAATGGAGCTAGAATGGACCTAGAAGCCTCCTCCCTAAAGACTAACTTTTCGTAGTATCAAAGGACACTATGCAAGTTTCCAAGGGAGAAAAAACAGTCCTACCTAGCCATGAAGTCTGATAACCACAGCAATGACCCATGTAGCAAATTATCTTTATTGGTGCAGTAGTGGCACTTTTGTCTTCATGGTAATCAACAGCTGTCAAATTAGGCTTAAAGCTTCCTCAGTGGAAGCAAAAACCATGCATGCTATTGTAAAGACATAGCTGGGGAGGTCATAGAACCTAGAGAAAAATCCGCTTTTGTCATATCTCTAGATAAACATATTTCTTACTGTATTCTAATATGTACCCTTATATTTACAGACGAGTTTACCACTCATCATAAAAGCTCCTTTTTGCAATAGATGAGGACTATTAGAGTTCCACAACTGGTCAAATGCAGAGAATAATGACCTGTGAGATGCTTAGTCCTAAGTGACATGTCTACATCTAAGGCTCAGGGAACATAGCAGAACACAGGGCAGAAAGAATATTAACACATCTCTCAACACACACCAGCAAAGCTTCCTCACGCATCAGATGGTGGTTAACCCAGAAAGCACAACTGACCAAAGTGTAGAGAATAAGAGACTACAGAGTGCTTGTCCCTGAATAGGATACTTATATCAAACCTCTACCACCCAAGGCTCAGGGACCATTGTAGAAGAGGGGTGGAAAGATTGTAAGAGCCAGGGGTGTTGAAAGACCACAAGGAAACAGAGTTTTCCCAGCCACTGGGAAGTTGCCTATTTGAACTTACAGCAATGGTGACAGAATGCACAAGACCTATGCAGGTTCAAATCAGACAAAAATCCAGCATAGATGTGGTTTCTCCACATCCTTTCCAGAAGCCCCAACCTTAGCTGAGGAATTACTGGCAATCAATAATGACTAATGGGAGAGGGAGAGAGGGTTGGCTTTCTTTAAGGAATGATGTTAGATAAGTTGACCAGGCTCTAGTGGATGGACTCACACCTAGGGACATTTGGGGACACAAACTCTGCAAGATAGGCCTTTACATGTATGAAAGAATGAATGAAATCCAGTGGGTGGTTATGGGAGGGTGCAGCTAGGGAAGAGGGGTCTAAATATAATTAAGAGGTATGAAATATTCAGAAATTCAACAAAAATTTAATGAATAAAAGAAAAAATAACACTGTGATGATTACATGACAAATAAGCAATGAGGTGATTTTTTTTAAAGGTATGGACAAGGTAAATCACCTCTGAGCCCAGAAGAATAGAAGGCAGCAGCCCTCTATGAGCAAGGAAGGTACAGAAGTCCCTTCCAGAAGCAAGATATGGTGGTGATGAGTAGGTGACAGATGATAAAAGGTATAGTAGCAACAAAAGGTTTTGTAGAGTTGGGCAGGGGAAGTCACCTATAAGCCCAGAAAAATGAAAGGAGCCTTCAAAAGGGAGAAAAATCCCTGTGCATTGACAAGCTCTTGTCCCAAAACAGAGTTCAATTCCTGGAATGCACATAAAAAGCCAGACATGGTGGCTTACATTTGCAATCTCAGCACTACTTCAAGATGGAAGATGAAGACAAAAAATCCACTGGGAAGATCCAGGTTCAGCTAGCCTGCAGAACAAAGTGCAGAAGCAGAAATAAGAAAAGAGACCTTGCTTCAAGGTGGAAAGAAAACTGACTGTTGGAAAGTTTTCCTTTGTCTTTCCACATGTATACCACAGTGCATGACCATACTCACACATACACACTTAAAGTAATAAAATTACTTCTTTAAAAGTCCCAGTGACACAGTTGCACATATGAACCCACAGTGCTTGTCACAGCATGCAGAAGACGTGCAAGCCCAAAGCCAGACAAAAAGCCAGGAAAGATGGGGGAGGCAAGCCCTAGCCCTAGCCTAGAATATGTTGGCAAATGATAGCAGCTAGGAAAGAGAGTCAGTTTTCGGTAAGAGTGTGATATTTGGTAATATAACCAGACTCCAAGGGATGAACCCACACCCAAGGTCATCTGGGGAACACAAATTAAGACTATATGCCCTTGAAGAAAAGAAAAATAATAATAAATTGAGACATGAAGTCAGTAGTAGGGAAGCACTGGGCAGGAAGGAGTAGAAATGATGTGTGGAAACGGGGGGGTGGGGTGGCTGAATATGGTCAAACTACATCATAAGAAATTTTCAAGCAATAAAAAAGTGTTTTAAGAAAACATTAAAAATCCCTGTGAGAAGACGAGCATGGTAGCTATAGTGGTACCTGTAATCTCAGCAGAAGGCAAAAATATCTTGAGTTGCAGCCCAACCTGGGCTACATAACAAGATTATCTCTAAATAAATAAATAAATGGCTAAGACAAACTTAGCAATTAGGTGAGTAAATGAAAGTAAAAAGAAGCAGTGCCTCTTACAGGAACCAAAGAAAAAAAATCTGTCACCTCAGAGGAGAGGTGAGGTAGAGAGACCAGAACATGAAGGACCCAGATGTCTGCTGTCCTCAATCACAATTTGTAAATTCAACACATTTAGGTTTTAAAAAGAAAAATGACACAATGCACATTTAAAACAACATTATTGATGTCTTTTAGATAAGGGTGAAGAAAGGCACTACCATAGTAAAATTAAACACACTTGAAATGCAACTAAAGATACTAGAATAATACAAAATTTTAAATTCACAGAGACTGCCAGGCTAATGGCACACATCCTTAATCCTAGCACTTGGGGGACTGAGGCAGGTAGGTTACTATGAGTTTGAGGCCAGCCTGGGCTACCTAGCGAGGTCCTGTATAAAGATAGAATAAAATAAAAAATGACAAGGAACAGATGCAATTCACTGCTTTCATACATGGTCACTGCAATAAGTGATATAATGCTATTTTTAAAAATTATTTTTTTGAGACAAGGTTTTGCTGTATAGCCCATAATGGCCTCAAATTGTATCCTCCTCAGCCTTTGAAATACTGGGATTAAGAGCATGCTATCATGCCAAGAGATCATGAAATCATTTCACAAAGAAGCTAGCACAATTTGTATTCATATTCTAAGAGTTAAAATTTTAGTTGTAATAGGATGATTTGAGACCTAAATAATACTAAGAAAAGTTCACAGTTGTAATTAAGAGTCCAAATTTAATGTAAAAGCCCCATTTAATTGAAAAATAAGATTGTTTTTACTTTCTGTAAAGGGATATATTAACAATCAATCTCATATCTACACATGTATTAAGCAAAAGACAAACTTGTTTTAAAATACCTGCTTCTTTCAGGCTAGTAAATGGGTCACAACTAAGAAAGTGAAACTTTGAACATTACTGATTTCATAATTAGACTTCCTTTTTTTTTTTTAATGATCTTATAGGTTTATAATCTATTTCCCCTTGTCAAAGGACACTGAAACTTCAATCACCTTAATTTCCTGGTAGCTCTTCCTAGACTGACTTTAAAACTTGTGGGAAACTTCATATATCATGATCATTAGAGGTGAAAAAACTATTTTTAAGCTTTAAATTTAAATGGAGACTTTATAAAATGAGTACTTTGACTATTACTTAAACATATATATCTTCACCAGAGAATTAAACTTACCTCAACCAGCACCTCAAAAACATTAGTGTGCCAGACTGCCCACCATCCAGATGGTTCCAGGACCTTCTCCAAGAAGCTGATTGTGAATTCTTTTACCTCAGAGGCCTTGCAGTCAGCTACAAACAAATTAAGAATGGGCAATGCTTAAAACAGAGAAGTTAATAAATCATTTTCAATTCACTTTCTCAGAATTAACAAATGGCAATATGAGGGACTCATATACTTGTAAAAATAAAATCATAAAAAGAAAGAATACTCACCTAAAATGTAATCTTGATAGGCTCTGAATCTCTCATAAAACAAAAGTTCATTTGTTGGTATAATTTGTGGCAAAAGAGGGTTTCCTTCTGGCTCAAGAGTTAGTAAAGCAGTACCTGGCTTATCATGATAGCTATGATCACTGCATTCATCTTCACAAAGGAATAAATCTAAAAGAACAAAATAAACACCCTCATTATCTAGTACTTAGAGAGGATTCCTAATTGCAAGTCTATTTAGAAATTCCAAACAAAACACAAATAAGGATTTGAGTATGAATGCCCCCTCCTCTCTCTCTCTCTCTCTCT